ACATGCGTCCCAAAACACTGATTACATGTTCTATGAAGTGAGTCATACTAACAAACTCTATCGTGTGGCTCTGACTCCAAAATCAAGGCTCAACTCCAAAGGATGCCCAGATTCTCAACTGCTGCCTGATAAGGAAAAACGTAGAGAAATATATGAGTTGATAGCTCAGTGAGTGGAGAAATTCAAAATAAATATACTTTTTCATTTATACATTTTTTTTTATCGAAAATGGAGTTCATATCGTTTAATAATTCACAAGACTATATCATGTAATTATAGCCAAAAAGTGAAATATTCACATGTCATAAAATATCATCTTAAAATCATGATATAACATCAGCTGATAACCATGCTATAATTTCATCACATCAAACGTGCTGAAAAATCCACCGAAAATGTATCCTCTGACTGAAATATGTATTTCGCCTCTTGGGCTAAGAACTTTCACCACGGGCCTTTGGCCCCCTCCGTGAACGAAAGCCGATCTCAAAAACCTCCCATAATCAATTCTAACGGCCAAGGTTTCTCTGTCAACTATATGTACACGATCAAGACCAATGTCAGGTCAAGACCCTCCGTGTAGGATAGAACACAGCCAAGGTCCCTCTATGAACTAGAAGAAGTATATAATCATGGGTACTTTTCTGGCCGATCTCAATATTAGATGTCTCACATACCAAATAAATCTCAATATCACATGTCTTACATAACAAGTCACAAATATGCCATAAATAATCTTTGATATTTCACATGTATCATAATAAAAGAGATTTTCATAATAACCATATAATTCGAACACATAATTGTACATACTTTGACAATATACTAAATTTATAAATATTTTACAAATATTTATATTTTTCCACTCACAAAACTATGTACGCCAAAATCAATTCGATTGTTACGCTGTCCCGTTATCCGTATCGCCACCTGAAATATAATATAATTTTTAAATCAACAATTAACTAATTTAAGTAATTTCAATAATTAAATAGGCGGTACCCAAATATAATTATTTCACGTTTACACGATTTCTAAAGTCTCTTTAATTACTAAAATTAATTTTTCTTTTATTTTACTCAATTTCATAGTTTATTACACTTAACCCCTTCAATAAAATTAAATTTAAACTAACAATCTAACAACTATAAAATCAAACATAACTTAACAATAAGTAACTTTTTACTTACCTTTCAAAATTGAGGAATTTAAGCCTAGTAGTATAACCCACTTAATTCCTAACACGTTGACGAATTTTTCCTTCCTTTTCTCCCTCTGTTCCCTTTTTTTTTTTTTCTTTTCTCTCTTCTTCTTTCTCTCTGTCTCGTTTTCTTTCGTGTGTGTAATGTGTGTGTTTTCTTTTAATTTGGTTTTGGGTTGTATATATATATTCAATTGGAATGATTTTTTTTGGCATCCACCGCCTGCTATTTTTGTTTTTATCTTTTGATTTTTTTTTAAGTTTTACTTTTCTTTTGAATTGATTAAAGTGTTACAAAAACTCTCCGCACTGTGCGGAGAGTTATTTTCAAATTCCTTAATTACAAGTGAAATTTCAAGATTGTAAATTTTTCGTATATACAATGAAACAGAGTCGAAAAACATGGCTCAAAATCAATTATGTCTTCTTTAAATGCAGTCACAGATCAATTTCTGATCATACAAATCATATTTATAGTATTGGAAATGAGCTTTCTCATAATTCATACATTGAAACAATAAGTGAATTGTGCAAAGAAGGGGATATTGATAGTACCATGGCATTGCTTTCACAAATGGAGGCCCTAGGGTACCATCCAAAATCAATATTTTACACTTGCTAGATAACAGCTTTTGGACATTAAAAGCGGATATAATTTTCAATGAAATTATACTTCCAGGTTGTAGGGCAGAAATTAAAGTGTTCAATGCATTGCTCAAAAGTTGTTTGAGAAAAAACCTCTTGGAACTTGCAGATAAAGTCTCGAGAGTTTTTGTTTTTCTCTTCACACTGTACAAAGAGATAGTTTGTCATCTCTCCGCACTTTGCGGAGTCTTTTTTTCCCTAATGTGCAGAAATTTTTTTTTTTGTCTCATGGAGTTTATATATGCTAAAATTATTTTTTTTTTTTTAATGTAGTTGGCATGATGTGTGTTTGAAAGAATATTTGTCAATCACCATAAACAAAATTCTTCACAAAATGCAAAAAATAAAAATGCATAATAAATCTTCTTATTACGCTAATAAAATTACAATAATTTTTTTTTTACTAATAATATAAAAAAATTATTTTTATCTTCAACAAAAAAACACATTTAAAAATTAGCAATTTCATAACCACTTTTTTTTTTTTTTTATAATTCTCGAAAATATAATTATAAAAAAGGAAAAAATATTGAATTACAACTTTTAATACTTAAGAAATTCAATGTTAAATAGATTTTATACATTTATAACAAATTATAAATCTATATATGCAACTTACCGTATTTGCAGGCAGCTTACCGTATATACAAGTTACCGTATATATTGCCTGCCGTATTTGCAGTCTACCGTATTTGCAAACAACTTACTAGGAATGGTAATTTGAATTGTTAAAATCAAAAATCGTGGTCAACTGAATTGAATGGGACAAAAAAAATCGAACCGATGGTGCAATGGGGCGGATATGGTATTTGATTTTAATGAACCGATTCATGATGGTGCGAGTATGATATTTATGCCGTTGAACTGAAACTGAACCGATTACCCACTTAAAAAAATCATTCTTTTATTAGGGATGACAAGGTTTAGTGAGGAGGAGTTGACAAAGAGGTACATTTTTTTATTTAAATATTAGTTAAAACAATTCTGAATTAGGTAGTATCATTGTATTCTCTACTTACATTTCTTATTTACTATATAGGAATCAATTTTGAGTGCTGACTTATACTAATAAGAGTTGTAGGGAAGAATGAAAATTGAATATGAGTTAAGGTTGAAACTTTTGAATTATTAAGCATGAATCAAGTAACTACAATGCACAAAATCAAGAATGAAGGAAAAGTTTAGTATTGTTATATTCATAATATTGTTTGTTAAGTTTGTATTTTATAATTGAAATTTGGGATAATATTTGCATTTTTGTTTGGAACATTGTGTTTTTGTTTTCATTGACTCTCTTTTCATAAATTGTTTTATATTAATTTGACTGATGGACCTATAAAAAATAATTTATTTTTCGTGGTTATTAACCGAACCGAACCGAGATACAAATTAAACCGAACCGATTTACGTGGTTATGATGCGGTTATGGTATGACAAAAAATTTGACGGTTCGGTGATGGTTTTGGCCGGCCGAACCGAATCGAAATCAAACCGTTGCCATCCCTACAACTTACCGTATTTGCACCTTACCGTATATACTACCTACCATATTTGTAACTTACCGTATTTACAGCCTATCGTATTCGTAAACAACTTATCGTATTTTCACTTTACCGTATTTACATCTTACCGTATATACTGCCTACCGTATTTGCAACTTATTGTATATGTTGTCTATCGTATCTGCAGCTTACTGTATTTTTATATACTGATTTTTGCAATTACAAATACTGAGAATGCAGAACACCGTACATTCACTTACCAAACCGAATTTCAAAAAAAATTCCAGATTTTTATTTTTTCAATATAAGATAAAAAAAATAGTAAATATATATGAAGTACAAAATATAAATGCATATGAATATGGTGCTCAATTTTCAATTTTTCAATATTGAATTACACAAAATTTAGAAATATAATCTTCACATTCAACTCAATACTATCAAATAATACAAATAAAATAATTTGTGTTATTTTCGTATATTTCTTATTCAAGTATGAAATATAGAAGTATATTTTTTTTAGATGACACAATACTGTTATGCAATTGTAAAAATAATTTGCAATTATTTTCTTATATCATGAAAATATTTTTAGATATTACTTCAAAAACTTTTCAAAAAACTAAAATTCATACACTACTAAAAATATGATAAATGCAAAATTAGTGCAACGCACATGACAATTACTGTGCGGAGAGATTTTTATTTTTTAACTTCGCAATGTACGGAGAGTTTGCCAACTCTCTCACTGTGCGAATTTTTTTCTATTCCGCACTGTACGGAGAGTCGGCACTTTGTGAGGACAGTGTCCGCACAGAATGCCATCTCTCCGCACTGTATGAAGAGATTTTTTTATTTTTGATTTTTTACTTCGTACTGTACGGAGAGTTTGCCAACTCTCCGCACTGTGCGGAGAGTTTTTTTCCTTTCTTTTTTACTCCACACATGATTTGTCATCTCTCCGCACTGTGCGAAAAGCTTATTTTTTTTTTTTTAAAGCTCATGTACGAACAGTTTTTTTTTTTGTGCTCATGGCAGTTTATTTACTAAAATTATTATTGTTTTTTTAAAGCTAGTGGCATGATGTGTGGAAGAACATTTGTTTGATATAAACAAAATGGAAAATAAAAAATAACATCATGTATAGTAAAATTGGATTAATTTACTATTGTATCAATAGTAAACCTTCTTTCCACTTTTTATTAGAAATTAGATGCACTGAGCCAAAAACGTACGTTATGCACCTTGGCCCACCAGATAAGGCAACGCGATTAAACTATTTGTCTCGTACTTGGACTGACCCATGACATCGTGTCGTCTACCATTATCATTTCCTCAGTATTCAATTATTGAAGGGAAATGCTTAAAAGGAAGGGTGACATGACCCCTATAAGTGGACCTTCTGTAAGGGTGCATGTCACCCACTCTGTTACCATAGCATTTCCAATTATTGAATTATGCCACTGAAAATAATTTTGACTATGATTTGACCTTTTTAAACCGGACAGTAACAGGCTCCCAGCCAAAATGGGTTCCGACCAGAACAAAAATCTAGAATGAGAGAAGTTATTTGTACACTATGAAGGGGTCCAAATGAATATTAAATTTGTGAGCTCCCTCATTGTGAGAGGCTGTAAAAGTGTAGAGCACTTGGCAGGTCTCATCTAGAACATACACTATTAGTAAGAAATAAGATGAAATTTGTTAAATTCCTAATTATACGTTTTTGTGTGGGGTAACATTTGACAATTTTAGGAGACAGAGATTCACAAATAGCGTCATCTGTGTTCCTGGAAAGCTCAAACGAAGCGATTGAACTTTGACAAAAATCAATAATTCAATATCGATATACATCTTTTGCTGTGTAGGAGAGCATCAAAGAATTCTTAGCCATTGCCTCTCTTCCTTAAAAATTCTCTTTTCTGTAGTTAAAACTTTTGTAGTAATTTACCTCTGGTAGTTAGAAAATGAAGAAGAGGGTTCTTCTTTTCGCATTTACTTTGGTAGCAATACTTCAGAATTTGCAATTTCCTGCGGCTAATGCTCAAACAAAAGGAAGAATGGTAACAGTTTTGAGTATTGATGGAGGTGGCATCAGAGGCATCATTCCTGGCACTTTACTTGCTTTCCTTGAAGCCAAACTACAGGTACTTTCTTGGTTGAACGATTCGTGGACAATACTGACTGAAATAATATTCCCGTCCTCTTCACAGTAAATACGATTGTGATTTTCCAGGAATTAGATGGACCTAATGCAAGAATTGCAGATTATTTTGATGTAGTAGCAGGAACAAGCACAGGGGGTTTAATTACTACTATGCTCACAGCTCCTGGTAAAGATAATCGCCCCCTATATGCTGCAAAAAATATTTCTAGCTTCTACTTGGAGCATGGCCCCAAAATCTTCCCCCAGCGAAGGTAAATTATTTTGAAAGACAGATTAATTTTTTCGAAATTTGCTTAATAAAGTACTGATCGTGTTTATATCCTTAAATTTTAAGCCGGAACAACTTCTTCTCGGCCATTACAAATATATTAGGCGGTCCGAAATATGACGGGAAGTACCTCAAATCATTGATCCAAGGACTATTAGGCAATCTGACTCTGAGCAAGACCTTAACAAATGTGGTGATACCATCTTTTGATATCAAGAGCCTTCAACCAATTATTTTCACTTCAAAAGAAGTAATTACTTATTTACCTTTGTCCTATCTATATTTGGATATTTTTGAACAAATTGTTAATATTAATTTGATCAAATTTTGTCCAGGCAAAAGCAAGTGTTTCCAAGAATGCTCAGCTATCAGATGTCTGTCTAGGCACGTCTGCAGCTCCAACTTTTCTGCCTCCACACTATTTTGAAACTACCGACGCGCAAGGAAAGATAAAAACTCACGATCTTGTCGATGGAGGGGTTGCTGCAAATAATCCAGTGAGTAGTGACATAAAGATCCCATACTTGTTTTTTTGTTCCAAGTCAAAAAAACTGAATTATATTGATGGATGAATGAATTACAGACCCTAATGGCAATAACACACATTTCCAAAGAAATTTTGTTGGGAAACTTTGAACTTGTGGACATGGAACCAATGGACACAAACAGAATGCTGGTTCTCTCATTAGGAGCTGGTATAGCTGAACTAGAAGAGAAGTACAACGTAAAGGACGCCAAAAGATGGGGCTTGCTTGGTTGGGTTTACAACAATGGTGCAACACCACTGTTCGACATCTATGCTGATGCAAGCTCGGATATGGTCGATATTCATGTTTCAACCCTTTTCCAATCCCTTCGCAATGAAAAAAATTACCTCCGTATTCAGGTATCCAATTATTCTTAAAATTACTCTCAGTGCACGTTTAATATGCAATGCTAGACATGACTATGTTTAAATGAATAGGAGGATACATTGTCCGGGGATGCATCATCGCTTGACATTGCTACCACAAAGAATATGCAAACACTTATTCAAATGGGAGACAGTATGTTGAAGAAGCCAGTTTCAAGGGTGAATTTGGAAACTGGTCGACCCAGGCCAGTTCAAGGAGAGGGTACTAATGAAGAAGCTCTTAGTCGCTTTGCAAAGTTACTTTCAGATGAAAGAAAGCTCCGGCAACGCGAATAGTAAGTGGCACTATTATAGAGAGTATTATCTTAGTCGATCAATAAGATTGGACAATGTCATAAATTATAAACAATATATTAACCTTTTTTTCCTTCTCGATGTGCTGTCTAAGAGAGTGGTACAGTCACTACACGTTGTTAGCTGTCCCCAGTGCGTGCCGGCTTCCCTAATCAGAATTCATTCTTCTTTAATATTATTTCAGACTACACCAAACAAAACCAAATAAATTTTTTATTTTTTGAACTATGAAAATTTGAATTATTCCATGAGATATTAATTACGGCTGCAGGACAGTTTTGCCGGACAATTTGCATAAAAGGCAAATAGATGAGATACTCTGATTCACACTTGACGATAAACTTGAGAACACCTAACCTCTAAACACGTTAAATATTTCTAAAAATAATTTATACAAGGATCAAGACAAACTTTTACAAAAACAAGAATCAATAATTAATTGCAGCAAAACAAGAAGATCTAGGACATGCCAAAGCAGGTGATACTTATAAAATGGATCATGAACATCAAGTGGACAGAGAAGTACACAAAGCAAAATCTTGACGGTTCTGATCAGTACCGTATCAAACATGCATTGAGTTCATTAATGGATTGTGACGATATGACGGATAGCAGCAATGTGTGGACAAGCAAGATTCAAGAACTAGAAAGGCTGAAGGAAAATCTCGAACAGGCTAAAGATGATGCTATGCAATCATGGTTAGATTCCCAGCCATTAATCGACGAGCTTGAAAAGATGCAGGCCGATTTGTCTAGTGTAAAATCACGAGTTATTAAGGCAAATGCTGTCATTTCAGAGCTTCAAGCTCAACTAGGAACTACAGATATGTGCATAAAGTCTACAAAGGAGGAAGAATTAAAGATGAAAAAAATCGTCGACTACAAAAGTAAAGATCTGGAGAGAACACAGGAAGAAATGGAAAAACTCAAAACGAAAATAGACGAACAGCAACGAAAAAGAACGAAACTCAAACAAGTGTTAAGGCTGAAGAGGCAAAGTCTTTTGACATTGCAACTCACTCACGAAGCAATACAGTTGGAGACACAAGCATTTGAAAAATCAGCTGCTCATGCACTTTGCTATATTAGTAATAAATCGGAGGGTGCACTTAATAGTTTAGTCCAGTTGACTCTAGATGAATATCACATGTTAAAAAGAAGGGCTAGTGAACAAACTTCACTAGCAGAAGGGCGTATATCAATATCCACGGAGCAAAAACTTACGGCGGAGAACAGTCGGGACTCCTCCTTTAGAAGGTTGCAGCAACTATATTCCCACCACGGATCGAGCAAAGGAAGGATGGAAGAAAATAGAAGTCCTAACGAAGGTTTTGGGGGTCTTACAGAAAAGCAATATGCAAGCATCAAAGAAGTTACTCCAAGGAATCAACAGAAATTCAAAAGTAATAATGTAGACTTTTTAGTCAAGAAAAAGAAAATATCCATTTTCTATCGAATAAGGAGTTGTTTTGCATGAAAAAAATAAATAAATTTAAATGATTTGCATTGCGGTGATCACTCTTTTTTTCTATTCCAAGCATTCATAAAAATAAAAAATAATAAAAATAAAAATAAAAAAATTATGTGATATATATAATTTTCAATGTTTTATATTATTGTTAAGACTTGGTTTTCATCTTAAAAGATTAATTTTATTAAGAGAAGTGTTGGGAAAACACCTCCCAATTAATGCCCAAAGATCAAACTAAGTTGGCAAAGTGAAAATTTCCAAGACACTTCAAGATCAAGAAAATGAGGAAGAAATGATTTCCAATAGAATATATGAAATTCAATGTGTTTGGATTACTTGAACAAGCCTCAAGTTAATTCTCAAGAAAGAAAATACCTTTGAATTTATACCCAAGATGAACACCTTCAACTTGTAAAATTCTCACCAAAGTTTTCTCTCTAATTTTCTCTCTAGGTCTTGTGTTTTTTTAATGAAAGAGGGAAAATGGCAATATATATATACATACTGGGGCGCCTAGGCGCCACATGAGTGGCGCCTAGGCGCCAATATTCTGCTTGGGAATCGCCTTCGGGGCGCCTAGGCGCCCAGTTTCTGATTTTGGAAGTTCACTCGGGGCGCCTAGGCGCCTGGACATGGCGAACGCCTAGGCGCTGCCTTCTTCAGCTCCTCTTCTTCCCTTCTTCAGCTTCTCTTCTTCCCACAAGAAGTAATTCAAAAATCCTTATAAGTTAGTCTATGTTTTCATTTTTATTCAATGTGAAATTTTATTCTTTAATATGCCCCCATAAGATGATGGCTTGTTTGAGACTTAAGAGTTCTATCTTAAAATGACGAACATCATCTATAGGAGTAACCCAAATTCTTATAGGTTGGTATTTGCTTTTATCTTTATTCAATATTGGATTTTATCCCTTCACATATACTTGGTATATTCTGAATAAAATGCTACAAGATTCATTTGAAAAATAGAAAGTATGTCGAAAAATCATAAATGAAGATTATAGGAAAATCATTACACATCCTTGTTTTAATCATGGAAAAGTAGGAGGTGAATGTACATAAAAGAGGAAAAAACACGAAAAGGAGAAGCTACATAGTAGAAATTGAACCTTAATCACCTAGATTTGAAATCCATACTTTAGCCATCTCAAAAAAATAACTCTTTGTTTATTATCATTCATTTAGGTAGGCAAGTTTCTAATTTACCATTGTACAACTTCTCCTTATCTCTCCGTCTTGTCCTGTAAGAACACCAATATTACCCATCTTCACCATAGATATACCAAAATCTCTAGAAAAAAGGAAAGGGAATTTGCCATAGCTCATGACAAATGAAGTGGTGATATTGTCACCCATGAGGGCTTGGTCCGACTATAGGAGACCGGAATTTTTTACAAGATTCTTGAGATAGTTGTTGTCGAACTTGTTTGTCATAGTAGGATCCAAGGAAACCAAATTCATACCATAATTGTTTTGATTCGGACAGACAGTACGTAGTAAAAAACTCTAATACCACTTGAAAGTTTAATTTTAGCCAATTTATTTTGACCCAACATGCGAAATTATATAATTAAAAACAACAAATCACTTTTTTATTGTTTCTAGATGATTAATCAATCACGTCAAATTATCCTATGATTTGAATGCCCAATCAATAATATGAAAGCAATAAATAACACGAAATATGTTGACGGAAAAAATCCAACTAGATAAAAGCTTCGGGACCAAGTCAGTAACCTCTACTATAGATAATATGAACTTACGATATGATCCGGCCTAAAAAATTCACTAGATTAGTTGATCTAATTCCTGCAATCTCCAAGACCCGTTGGAACATGCTTCAATCACATTTGTTCTCGATCTTCTGAAATTGTCTCTCTCATGTGGATCACCAAGAACCCCTTGTTCTTGTACTCTTCCTGTGCTTCTGGTCCAATGCCTCAATTTTTAACAACATCTAAAAGTTATTCAAAAAGTACCTTCTTGTATATGTATAGGAAGTGGATGTTTCGGATTATATGAATTTGATGTTTTTTCTGAAGCTATGGTTGAATGAACTCAAGAATCAAGGATCAATCTCAATACTTGAATGTGTTCTTAGATCTTTGAATGATGTTATGAAGAAGTAATATAATGAACAACCACACACAAAACCTATTAGGGCTTGGATATTTATAGCAGGAAGTAATTATGTAGTATGGCCAGATAAAACTCGTGAAAAATATAAACTAGGGTTTCACACATAACAGTGACGCTCGAGCGCTAGGCTAGAGGCAGGGGAGCAATTGTTAGTATTTTCATCATAACATTCTCTTCTGATGTCCAGTTAAAGTGATTCAAAATACGTTGAAAAATAATTCAAAGGGCTACAATTCTTTTAGAAATAGCCTTGTCCAAATTTCAATGTTTTCTATATGAAAAAGGCGTTAAAATTTACGACTAAGAATTTAGAACATAACTTGCGTGGCCCTTGGACATCTTGGACTCCTTCAAGGACTATACTATCAATTCCAACTATTTTGACTTTAATTAGGACTCAATAACTCATATTTTGAGTTTGTCACAACACGATAAACTCTTAATACAATCTAACTAGGACTTGATTTTGTCTACAGAATTGCCACAACATAAATCCTAACACATAGATTGCTAAGTAATGCTACATCAAGTGTTGGATCAGGATTACCAGCCCCGTCAAAGTTGAAAAGCCTATATTTAAATGTGAAACATTGAGCAAAGCCAATAGTATGAGCACCTGTATGGATCAATGAGGTCTACTTAGAGAGTTCTTTTTGTAATTTTATTCTCAACTCAACTTGATTCAATAAAGCCTTGTCCCATGCGTATCCATAGTCAATTATGTATATGGATTTGTACCTGATAGAACAACTACATCTTTCAAATCGAGACTCTAGGATACAAATTTTGCTGTAATATTTGTCAAGGGCATGAAAGGTGATGGTAGCTCATTAGCAGCAGCCTCGTTTGCTGTTAAGTCATCTCGAGGTCCTAGGGGAACCGGCAATAAGGACCCCCAGTCTAGTAAATTTGGTAATGGACATTATAGGCAAACGTTAGAAAACATTTTATGGTAATGAAAAATCGAATTTTATAACAGAAAACAATTATATTAATTTTTTTTTACCAGATAATCAAATTCCCTGGCGGAAAGAGTCAATATATCTGCATAAGAGACTTTGGATTGGCAAGCTTTCTCAACATTTGCCTCTATTGCATCAATAACATCAAATGCTCTAGCTGAATCCTTATTGGAGTTAGCGTTCTTCTCCCCTGTGAATGTGCTGGTATCATCAAGCAAGACAGATCCGTCACTGCCCTATATAACTAGAAGTAGAGAAATTTATCAAATAAAAAGTATAATCATGGAATTATAAGAAGAGGCATTGAACACGTTTATCCAAATTATTCATGTGGAAATTTGTATACAAGGTAACGTTATTACATTAGCAAAACAACCATGGAAATGTAGGCGTAGAATAGAGGCAGCCATTTTAGTTTTATTA